GGTGGGGGGGGGGGGGGGGGGGGGGGGGCACACGAAGAAGGAAGGACAGGAAAGGAGAGGAAGAGAGGCGGGAGCTCCAAACCGGAGTGGTTGACGGCTCACGATGTTTTTGTACAGAAACGAAAAGCAGCCCGAGTCAACAACATGTCAGAAAAGGCGGGTGGGTTTATTTCTGACCAGAGAGCCGCTGGCCGCTGGCCGCTGGCCGCTGGACTGGCTGCACAAGCGGCAACCCCAGTGCGTCGTCCATGCAGTGACCAGTGAGTGACCAGCGACCAGGCAGGCTTGTTGTTGTTGTGAGACCAGGCGCCGAGCCTCCACCCTCCAGACCTCCGGACGTCATGTCCACACGTCCACATGTCCGCCTTTCCCCTTCTTGGCCCCGTTCGATTGCCGGCACATGTGCCTGCAGGCTACCAGCGCCTGCCAACTGCTGCCCGCCTGCTTCCGCACGGAGTAGAGCAGGGCAGAGCAGGGCAACGCAACGCAACAACAACAACAACTCACTCCCGCTGCGAGGCAGAAGGACTGTGGGCCGTCCCGTTGCCACGGAAACGATCAGCGTTGGCTGCTGGACCCAAGGCCCACCACCCAATCAGGTGAAGCCCAGCCCGGCCTGCCAGGATTGGTGCGGCGGCTGTGGCGCGTGCGTCAGACGGGTGTGTGGGGCCAGCATTCCACTGGCTTGAGAGCTCGAGAGCCGCGCCACGCCACTCCACTCACTCACTCACTCACTACGTACTTTCCGTCTTTGCTGGCGAGAAGCTGCCCGCCAATTAATCGCTGCCCCTCCATCCGCTCGACGACGCTCCAGATAAAAATCTTGACCTCGTCAGCATTCCTTGCCTTCAACACAAAAGCGTCACGCTCTGCCTACCTCTTCCCCGACCGCTCATCCAGTCCCAACCTGCGACGCCGGTGCCCCGGCGACCCGTCGCATCCCCGTCTCATCATCTCATCGCATCACCATGGCCTCGGCGACGGACCAGTTCCCATGCTCAATGTAATAATGTCTTTGCCCGTCCACCCAACCTGAAAACACACCTACCCTACTTCTCTTTCTTTCTTGTACCGCTCCGTCGCCACCTCCCCCCCCCCCCTCCTCCTCCTCCTCCTCTTCACAATACATTATTCGGCCGTCCAAAAAAGCGTAGCAGCTAACGCAAAACAGATCCCTCCGTGTACCTCTCCCCACCGCGAGACTCGCCTCCACCGCTCTCCAAGCTCTCCGCGTCGACCCGGAGCTATCCCCCCTCGTCCAGAGACGACTGTCCGTCGCGTCGGACCAAGATGCCGCCCTCGAGGTAGACTACCAGGCGACGACGAATCGCATGCTTCGCGTCGCCGTGAATTCCTTCATGGACAGTCTCGGGCTCGTGCTGGACGTCATGCAGCAGTTGGATGTAGATGTGTTGCCGCCAGCAGAAAACCAGAATCCGTCGTGAATCCTGAAATCTTCGACAACACTCAAACCCCAAGAATTCCCAGCGGCCCACGATCCCCTGCGACTGATTCTGAATAACCCAACCTGATTTGTCGGCGCTCGGAGACGACGACGGGAGCCAGCGCGCCGGATAATGCGTCTCAATTGGCCATACCATTCATCTTATTTATAGCGATGGCGCATCCTCCCATGTCTCATCGACGACTCAAATGCCGTCATGGGATCATCGACCAACTACTAAAAACAACGGCACCACTCTAACCTTCAATGTCTCCGGGAGCCCTCTTAAACAAGGGAAAAAATAAATCATACCCACAAGAACCGTTGGTTCCCCCAAATCCAAGACAAAAATGACATGCGCCATCAAAGACAAAAGAACAAGAGCAACAACAAGCAGCTGCGCGCGTGCTTGGTACTTCCATACAGAGCCCTTTATAAATGCTAAACCTCAACCAAGACGTGTAATGGTGACAGTTAGCTTCCCAGAAAATGCAAAACATGTGATAGACGCCCCCTTGTGACCGTCGACCGAGGTAACCCCGTGCTATTTGCCCAGTATGTATGTAACCCAACCAAAAGACATGACTCCAACTGCCAAAATCTGGACAGTATTAGAATTGAATATATATCCACCCGTTCACGGTGCCGGTGTCTGAAGCCTTTGCAGCTGGCTCTTCAGCTCGTCTAGCTCCTGTCTCAAGTCGCCATTCTCCTTTTGAAGATGCTTCATGTGCACTATGGCGTTCTCCACAACGCTTGCTTTGCTGTTGGGCACGTTGTTCGACGATGACTTGATGTCTTTTTTCTCCGCCTCGTCGTCTTCGAGCTTTGGATGGTCTGGTAGTAAGCTAGCCATGACTTGCAGCGCAGAGTTTATGCGGTTTCTTCGCCCCTGCTCCGCGATCTTGTGAGATGTCCGTTTTGAGGTGAGATTCGTCGACAACTCCGTCGGATAGGAAACTCCTGGCACAGTGTTTCCTTCTAAAAGATTTTGATAGTTTGATTTGGTCATAAGCAAACGTGAGGCTGTGTCTTCCAACGATAGGCCAGGAGTCCCAGGCAGCAAGGGCTTGATACTGGGTGATATTCTGGGTAGCAAAGCGGGCGAGGCGTGAACTGAGCCGGTAGATCGTTTCCTGGGGTTTCTAGAAGCCAGCTGAGAAGTCTTGCGCGCACTTTGCCCGGACGAGGCCGGACGAAATTGAGGACTTTGACTCGCTGATGCCGTTCCCGGGGCTCGGGTGACGGGAGATGGTAAAGGCTGTTGCGGGCTTCTTCTCGGGGCGTTTGGTTCGATACGGATGGAAAGTGACGCCGGGGGTATGTTAATTGGTGCGAGAGGTCTGTTTGATATTGACTCTGGTAGCTCGAGCGATTCGATGTTTTCAGTGACTGTGTGTTGTTCCTGACCGACCTGTTTTGAATTCACGGCGAGCGGCTTCTGTGCCTTGGAAGCGGGAAGTTTCATTAGTGAGGCTGGCGTGGCGGGATGGGGTTGCTGCTGCTTGTCTCTCTGTTCTTCCACCACCAAGGAACGAGGCGTGGGCTGTTGCGAGCCTCCGTTTTGTGCTTGAATATATGGCGATTTGCTAGTCGACCGTCTGGCGGGAACGGGAGGGGGGGGCATCTCGGACAGGTTTTCGGGCGAGACGGAGGCATTTTCTTCGGAACCTTCACTCGACGTGGCTGGAAGGGGAAGTAGGCCTTGGTCCGCAGGCTCCACCTCACTCTCGTCCATCTCATTCAACACCTGTGATACGATGGCCGGGCTCGGGCCTGTTTTCCGGCGTTGAGGCTTGGAAATAGGTGAGTTCTTGACGCCCTTACTCCGTGCCTTGACTGCATTGGTCTTTCTGGCCTTCTTGAACAAGTCTGTACTGGACCCGCCTGAGGGAGCAGTAGCGGGCGCTTCTGGATCCATTTCAACGGGTGAGTTGTTAGACTGCGTGCTATGGTCGTAAACAGGTGATGAATCGTTTTGGGCATGCAAAGCTGGCGAGGTCAGAGGGCTAAAGTAAGCCCCGGGAACAGTAAAAGCATTTTCCAGGTTGAAATGAGGATCCAAAGGCGTCACAGCGGGGGACACGAGAGGTGTAAAGGCCATCTGTAGCGCCGTGACGTTAGCATTCGTGGTCACCAACCCAAGCCGAGAACTGAACTCGCAAACATCAACCCAGCGCAGGGTTCGGAGGGGGGGTTGGGGGGATGTATAAGTCGAGGAGAAGGAAGAGAAACCACTTACATCTTGCTGCTCCGACATTCGCTGATGATATCCTCGGTCATAAGCCGTTCGCTGGGAGACCTGTTCTGCCTGAGAATAAAATTGACCGCTGCCGGGGGGCATCTCCATGCTCCGGGGGGTGGGAGGGACCGAGTGGCTCTGGCCGGCAAAAAATGTCGCACCTTGTTCTCGAAGCTGGCGCTGCTGTTGGTGGAACTTCTGCTGCTGGAGGTACTGAATCTGAGCATCGATGCTGGAAATGGTGTCGCTCGGGGGAGAAGTAGCCAGTAATTGTGCTTGCATGCCGGCGGTGGTCACCAGGGCAGGTGTGCGGTTTTGCAGCAGGCCGTCACTGCGAGGGATCATGTGAGAAGAATCGACATCGCCCATTATGGCGTCGGGTTGTTGGCGGTGCTGATGTTGCGGGTGCTGATGCTGGGCCATGATGGCTTGCGAGGAGCCATCCTGGAAGCCATGGAAGTCGAACTGCATGCCATCACCCATGTTTCCTATGCCGCTCATGTCGAGAAATTGGTTGAACTCGTCTTCGGTAGTGGAAGCCATGTGCTGGTCATGGCCATCCCAGGTCGCCGGAGCCATCATGACAAATCGAGATGGCGGCGGACCGTGTGCAGGTGCAGAATGAGGTGAGAGATTCGGTCTCGGGGGGTGTGGTGCCGTTCCAAATTGTGTGTAGGAACTCGAGGGGCTTCCGTTTCCCGTCACATGTAGTGATGAGATGCCGAGACTGCTCGGGGGAGAGGTTCGTCTTCAAGTTGCACTGGGACTTGCGTCTTGGAGCTCGTCCGAGACTGACGGCCAACGATTTCAGGGTCCTCGGCTGCAGAGTGAAGCCTGTCTGTGGCTGTCGAAGGTGGGGAGGAGGGGCTTGAAAACGGACTGAGTCTATGTCGACATGCGAGCACGTATAGTCGCAGCTAGGGCGGAAAGTTGCAGCTGCAGTCGCGGCGACGGCGAATGCTGCGTGTGCCGTGCCTCCTTCTCGACTCTTTTCTTCTCCTTGCCCTGCTTTTGCCCTTTCCTCTCGGGGGATCTTGGTGGTGGTGTTGTAACTTGTCTCGGGGGTGGGCGGTGGGCCCCGACGGAGCTGCGCTGCGTGGTTGGCACGACCAAGGTCCCAGAGCGCAAAGGCAGGTTTTGGCGCAGAGCAGGAGTTGAGTTGAATTGTCCTTTCGCAAGACGAGGCTGGGGAGACGGCAGCAGCTGGGAACGGCGAACGATGGCCGACGCAACGGGTCGACGATGGCTGGAGGGTGGAGGAGGAAAATTGCCGTCGGTGAGGTTTGACGACGGCGGAGCGCCCTTCTTTGGAGATTGCAGGGCACCGGACTCAATCAATCCATCCATGATCCATGTCTGGAGGTCTGGAGGTCTGGAGCAAGCCGAGAGCGCTGGAGCCAGGCAGGCTGCATCGGCACATGTCTGATGTCTGGTGGGCACTTGCTGAGGAACGCGCTGGGGGGGGCTCGCTTTTAGGGGGGGTGAGCGCTCTCGCGGGTCCCGTAGAGGAGACGAGAGAAGAGAAGAGGGTGGCCACCAACAAGCAACCTTGACCAACCCAACTTCGACCGGGGCCCTCTTCGCCCACAAAACAAGCATGTAACACGGCACAAATATCAATATCAATATGTGCTCCGTATCTAGAGCACTACACGGGGTACGGGGCACGCATCGTTGCCGGTATGGTGGCATTGGGGGGTTGCACAGAGACGCCGACTTCTCTATCCAACCCGACATGGAACACGGAAGCATGGAGACGAGACGAACAGTCCATCACGAGAATCGAGAGCGTCAGTCAACTGGGAACCCCTCGTCACGTCACGAGTGCCCCCCGGACGCCGCACCTGACGCGCTGTCTTCAAGCCAGCGTCTCCAAGACCACCGAGATGGTGGTTGCCATCGACTTTGACATTGTGTCCGACAATAAATACTGCGGGTCGACGCCAGACCTCAACACGGCCCGAGATGGATGGACTGGACAGGGACATCTGGAGGAAGCAGGCGAGTGCCTTGGCCCGGGTGGTTGGACGTCGCTGCCTCCTCCATAAACAGCTCCTAAACGACTCAATTCCTCGGGGGTACGCAACGATAAGTCATGCGACGTCATCGTACAGGGGAAAAGAGGCTGCATATGAAGCAGGAAGAAAATAAGCCCGTGCCACATGCCACGCTCCGCCAGGGCCGGCCGTCGTCTACTTCTGGCCATGCTCTGGTGCAGAAAATCTAGATGTCATATCCACTCCCGACCATGAGCGATCGGACCATGACAATCAGGGGAGCGAAGTGCTCTCCCAGTGTTCATTCTGCCAGGCATCCCTTCCCTGTCAGGTCTGGCCGCGCGAGTCGCGACGAGGCGGACCAACTCGCACAAAGCCAAGTTGGGAGAGCCAGTAGTGAGCAACTGGACCTTCAATTTTCAACTCTAGGAGGCTAGCGTCTCCCAGAGCCCCGTCAACTTGGCCTTGCAACCAAGAGTTGTTCCTTCGAGTGGAGGGAAAGCTGGTCAAGACTCAAGACGAAGCCCGAGCACGTCATTGGATTCGCCAATAAGCCTCGCCCTCTCCTACCAGTCGGTACACTGCCCATTGTTCACGATTTAGTACCTTATTGTTTCCTCGCTCCCTGTCCCAGGTTGCCTTTTTAGGACGATACACGACGTCTTGCATCCTTCCGGCTTGTTCATGTCAAGACTTAAACCGACCCCTGTTCGGAGTTCATTCTCGAGACATCCCTGCTGTGCTTGTGAACACAAGTTGAACACTGAGACATTCGGGAAACAGTGGTTGACTTTTTGCTTCGGCAAATCGCTCTCCGCCCGGGGGTGGTTGCGGGATTATTAGGGATCAAGCAAGGTTAGGTGCCCGTGGTTCACAGAACTAAGCAAGTCATTAAACCTCGTTAGGATACGGATCTTATCTATTCGCGCCATCATGTCGATGGGGTACGTGCTAGTCTCCTCCGTACGGCGTATCTCACTAGTGAGTGGCTCGCTCGCAGACCGGGTCCAACGAGCGCCAGCAACAATGGCGATCGGTCACAAGATGTCGTCCCAATCCCACAGCTGTCCTTCGCTGTCATGTTCATGTCCCTCCCTGACTCTACTCCGAACGGTAGGGGTCGGTCCTGCTGCCGTGTCAAGAGCAATGGCGGAACAGAGTCGCCCACGTAGTCTCTGCCCGCTCATCGGCGTTCACGTCGACCTGATCGAGCAGATAGATGTTCTTCAGCGTTGCCGCGAGCTGAGGCTAGCTTGCACCTTGTTGAAACTTGGCCAGTCACTTGACAAAGATGGCAATAGAGCTGCCACACCGTGCGCTCAGCTCCTGGCCAAGGCTGTCCAGTCCAAGTGGACGGACCAACCTCGAGTCTAAACGCCATAGACAGAAGTAGGAGTTGGTCTCGGGGAGAGCGTCAAGTAGCTGCCACAACCCTAACCAGCCATGCCCGCGACCTTGTACGGAATACCGCCAAGTACCCAAGGGCCCTCTAGCCGGGCAGTCAGTCGAGACAGTCAGATCATAGATGTCCCTTTGCCTCTTATTATTGTCAGCGAGCTGATAGAACACCGTCGCGCATCACGTGATGACGGATCGCGAACCTTGTAGCCCATGCATGGCATCACCAGTCGATTCACCAACCCATCTCCTCCGTACATCATACAATCGTACTAGCTAGCTAGCCGCACGCGCGGTGGTCTCGCCCACGCGTTAGTGAGACATGGCAGTGTTGCGACGCGTCCGATTCTTGGATGGCAAAACCCCAAAGAGTAGGCTGCCGTCTCGTGCAACTCTGCCGCAAGTCGTCAAATGGGTCTCGGGGAACCTGTCGTCATGAAGAGATCACATAAACCCTCTTGGTCCATCAAGTTGACTCGCTCAGCTATTTTCGCCAATGTTGTTTTACATGCTCCAGCCTCAACGAAATCGCCTGCATCAAAGAGAGCTTGGGCCGTTCTCCGATTGACTTCTTCATCTCCGAGCGTAGGACTGCCAACCCCGCCGGCGACTTTCGCGCAATGCCTTTATGATGCATCACATCAAGGCTTCACACGAGGTGCAACATCAGAGTAGTGTCATGCATATGTCTTGTGTAGCTAGCTACATATGTGCAAAGCCGCCTGCCGCTGTATACATACAAAGATTGGTTGCTCATTGTCTCGCGACAAGTTGTCTTGGTTCGCGTTCGTCTGCCAAGTCCCCCGTGTTCCAGGGAGCCTTACTCCGCCTCCTTTCAACCAATTACATCAACCATAAAAGAAGGCGCGGTGGTATCGTAATGAATGACGCGAAAAATTGAAAATAAGGGAAAAGATATGCCAGTCAATAGCTGGAGTCTAGAGTCCAGAGAAGATACAAGGCGCAATCGCAGAGTATAGCCCGAAATATGTCCAAACACAGAGATGTCGACGCCAGGCCATGCCGTGTGCTGACTTGACTTTATCAGCCTCGAGTCTGTCTCAAGACTCTGGGCTCAAGCCATCCAGTTGGAGATGATCAACATGAAAAAGAAGAAAAAAAAAGTTCAGGATAATGTGGGAAAAGGATAATGTGGGAAATGAGTGCTGTGCTTTTTAGCCTCTGATCCGATCGGCCGAGAACCAATGCGTCGGCTCCAGCTCACAGGAGAGTAAGCTTTGATCTCGATTCAATTTACCCGAGTCCTTTTGAGCGAGTGCAGGACAAATAGGGATGGAAAATCAAGGGACATCGAAGGAAAAAGCGTGCATGTCAAGAAGATGCAAGCGCTGTGTCGCGTTAACATATCGCTAGGCGTAGCAGCGCTGTGTCGTGAAAGTGTGGCTCAGGAGAGCCTCGTCGTCAGAAAGTCTCGATCCGAGGAGGAACGATTTCGTACTCAAACCCGGGGTTGATGGTCTCCAAGGTTAAGCCAGCTCATGTCAGACGTTGATGCCATAGTAAGTTGTGGCTGCCTGCTTACTCCTGAGGGAGGCTGCACAACCGGAGGATTACCAGGCGCTTGCGACGTCACGTACGAGCTAGGCGCATATGCGCTGCTCGGGGCGCGATTGGTTCCCCATGGTTGACTGGCTTCCTCGGGACCCCATGTCTCATTGATGCTCTCCGGGATGCCACTAGAATAGCCCGAGGATACTGGTGAGACGGGTCGCTCAATCGTCCCCGACATGCCCTCAGAAATGGGCATTTTGCTCGTGTACTCTGCAACTACGGGACTGCCAGAGTTAACACTGTTTACCGATGGCCGCCCTTCAAAGTGCAGAGGCGGTACCGTTGCCGAGTCCTGAGTGACGCGGGGGTTCTTGATGACGTCTGAATACTGAGAACTGTGTTGAGAGACGATGGTGTTCCTTTTGCCGTTACCAAACCCAAGAATCTGTAGGGCGCTACCGCCAGACCAATATCGATTCCAACCAGAACTTCGACGTGTGCCATCATGAGCTTCCGTCAGGCCATTTCGAGGTCGAGGTTCTGCCACAGAAGGGGCAAATGCTACGCCACGCTCGTCGGGAATTTGCAGCGATGGATGCGCCATAATCTGAGGAATAGGTTTGCTGATTTTGCTCTTCAACTGTTTGTGCACGGAGCTCATGGAGCTACGTGCCGTGTCGTTGCTCAGCTTCCTGCTCAGCCCAGATTTCTCTTTATTCATTCGCCCCATGAGAATAGCAGCAGAAGAATATGATTCTGCCGACGCCTGCGGCCGATGTCCCCTGAGAGGACCAGATGGAGAGAATGGGCTCTTGTTGAATGCAAACATATCCTTCTCTTCCGATGGGGTGTGGCTCGATCTTCCTGCCTCTGTCTGGCCAAGCTGCTTCCTCCGGCGCCGAAGCAGAAAAATAATGAGACCTAGAAGCGCAAGAAAACCCGCAATAGAACCCAGCGTAATACCAAGAATGGCATTTGAGCTTGGACCTGAGTCTTGCGGTGTGTCGGGTGCTGAAGACAAAGTAGCTGCTGTGGTGGTGGCAGCAGCGGTAGAGCTCGATGAGACCGACGTTGATTTAGATGTCGAGGTGGAATGGCTTGAGAGAACCTTTTGCGTGTCGTCGAAGAAGGCAGTGGCGTTGATCCAACTATTCTTCTTGGTATCGAATAACGCGATGGAGCTGTCGGGTCTGCCCCCAGAAAAGACAACCAGACCATTTGGGCCTTGGGCCATGGCAAAGTTTTCCCTCGTTTCTTTCGGTGCCAAACTCGAACTTAGTTTTGACTCCGAGTTGATGGCAGGCGAATTAGCTATAGACTTTCCACTGCCGTCCATTATGGCCACACGGAAAACCTTGTTGGGAGATTGGCTCAAATCAAACAATGTCAGGTTCTTGGACGTATCCTCTCCTGTAACAACTATTCCCTGTATTGAACTTGTGTCTTTCTGGATTGGTTCAGCCAGACTGCCATCGGTATATCGCCAATTGCCCCCCTCACTGAACCAAAACACCTTCTTGTGGTCGGGGGTTGGGCCTCCTCCTACCATAATCACATCCGCATTCGTTATCGGGGTAAGAATCGGATGTACACTGGCCGGGGGCCGGTTAGATGGCACGACCGCAGGAGGAGGAATGGTGACAGTATAGGGCTCCGAGGCCTGTATCATAAATGTGTCTGCTGACGGACCAGTCTTCCCATCCTGACTTCCGCCATATATCAGAATCGTGTCGGTTGCTTCAATATACGTCGATGAATGCCCTTGTCGGTGCTTTGTGACCATATTTTTGAGTGAAATCATGGTCCATTTCCCAGTGGCGTATATGAACATTTGTAGGCCAGAATAGCCATCAGAGGATGCCTTGCCACCAACCACAAAGAAAGCTGGCTTAGTGTTTTTCGGTTCCGCGCTGCCGACGCAGGTTGCACCTGTGACCTTTTCACCATAGGCGAGAGTCGTCCAATTCGCGCCAGGCACGAGACGACGTGACATGAAAGCTTGAGGCGAGTAAGAGTAGAGTGTGTTATTGTAAATGACAGTGCACGAAGAGTCGAAATACTCGGAAGGTACTGGGGCAGGCATGTTTGCAACGTTTCTCCCAAGTCAGACGGAGCTGACGGGGAACGGGCAATTGCTTGGTGCCAAATCACACAAAATATTCGACTTCTCACTTGAACGTGTTTAAACCATGACGATAGTGAATCCGGCTCAATGAATCGATCGATTTCCACGAATGTCAACGAAAAGATTGCTTGCGAGAAGCCTGCTCCGCGATTTGACAGGTGGAACTGAACGGAGACGGATTGTCGCGTTTCGAGGCTCGAATTACGATTCAAGTACGTGATTTTGAAATGAAAGCGGTGGCTGCCGACGAGTACGGCGGCATGCAGCTAGAGCATGAGCAAGATAGAAAACACGGAGCGCGTTGCGCTGGGGATTCGGGCGACTGAGATTCGAGGATCGATGCGCGACGTCCAATTGTTCGAGTTCCTATAGTGAGGGAGTGGTATTCTGTGTATTACGTCGTCAAGACGTCAACGTTGCCAACAAATTACAAAGCTCGTCGAGGGCATATCGAAAGGAGACCTGGCCAAATTGACGACGACTCGGTTTCAGGAGGCGAACGGGGATGCTGGAAAGGAAAACTACCATGAGCCGTTGTGAAAAAGACGCAAGCGCAAGGCTGCCGTTCAAATGGGTGGATGGCAAGCAGGGAAACAGCGCACGGCAAAAAATAGGAAGGCGAGGCGAAGTTCAAGTTGAGCAGCGATACGACCAGCTGCGAGGGCCTATGGAGAAAGGGAAGACATGGAACTCGAGAGGGATGAGGGTGGGAAGATGGAAGTCGACAGGCGTAGTAGGTGACGGGGGCATGGATGGGGCCATGGATGGGGTGGGCAAATGAAGGGAACAGGTTTGGAGGGGGGGCGAGGAAATCAGACCAGAACAAAACGACTGACGAGGCAGGCAAGACCAGGGACGAACCAGACCTGGAACCAGACATGCAATCCCCCGTACGAAGCACTACGGAGTACCTGGTGGGAGGCAGCAGTTGACAGCCACCAGACTGGTGCCGTGCAGGTGCAGGTGCTGGTGCTGGTGCTGGTGCTGGTGCTGGACCCCGGTGCTGGGCTGGTGCAGGAAGGCAGGAACGGGCACACAATCCAGGGGCACACGGACCAAAACGCACAAGCCCAAAAAAGTTGACCAGGGGCAGCTGCAGCGAGGCTGTTGTCTGTTGTGTAAGTGGGCTGGGCGCTGGCTGGCCGGGTCCACACGCGTCCGCAACGGGCGCCCAGGCTCGTCAAATGCACTGGCTGGCCCTGGCCCAGGCCCCATCCATCCAAATTGGTCCCATTTGCCATGTTTTTCGTGGAACCGTCACCGCCGCCGCCGTCGACGAATTGCTCCCTCACCAATTGGCTCGTCCGCCTTGGTGACACCACGACACCGGCACACACACTCTCTCTCCCGGTTCTCGTACTACCAAGTACATACCCCGTATTGGTTACTGTGCAATCACGCCGGCACGGCATGCCACTGCTCTGCTCCGGCTGACTCAAACTCGCAGTCCAGAGTATGGAGTACCAACAGAATACAGAGTTGTCGATGCAATATTGTGCCGGGAACCAGGGATTAAATCCATCAGTCAGCCAGTTTGCCTCAGAAGTACGGAGTACGCAGTGCGTACTTGCAAAAAAACGACATACATACATAGATCTGCGCCACGGGGCACCCTCTCTCTCTCTCCCTTCAGTCACGAGCGAGGATCGCCCAACGTCTTGGCCTGGACACGGTTGTCAAAATGCCAGTAGGAGGGAGGGACAGCGTTGACACGTTGAGTCTTGACCTGGTCATCGAGGCACCTGACCGAAACCAGCGCCCGTCGTCCTCTCAGCATGGTTGGTTACTGGGTAGCACGTACGGAGCACTGCTGTTTCCTGGCCGTCGTCCACCGTGTCTTCACAGAATCACCACTGCGCATGTCGCGACTGTCAAGCGGGATTTCGGCCAAGTCCCTGTAGGAACCTCATCCAGCACTGGACCTGATCCACTATGGGCGCGACCCAACGCCGAGACGGAGCGGTCAAGGTGCAATTCCACATAACAGCCATAACAGCACGGTACCCAGCATTCCGGTGGCTTCCATCAAACAATGGAAGCTGGTGTTGATCCTACGGGAGGCTTACGCTGCATGGCTGGGTGCCAAGACGCCTCTGCCCTCGACGTCTTCGCCGCCGCCTACAGCTTGCATCTCCCTTTTGTTGGTGCTGGGAGAATCGCAAAAAGGAGTCAGACACTGGGTCACTAGAGTCTAGGGGGCCAATCAAAATGCGCAGACAACGCCCCGAGCCCTCAGAGGTTGGGCCTCAAGGTCAAGGGAAGCGTCTTGGTACACTTGGTCATGAGTAAGTCATAATTCGGAGTACGAGGCCGGCCGTCGACAGGATGTCAACGTCATAGGAGGCTGGAAAGGAGGGTCACGGACATTTTTATTTCGAAAAAAAAATGAACAACAAAAAAAAAAATAAAAAAATGCGACGTCCCGAGTATCTGGATCGAATTATTCTCTTGACACCACCAATGGACAGAACCTGCACGGACTACGTCGTGTCTCACCTGGCCGAGCATCGTGTCTAGGCACTTGCTCAAGCAGGAAACCCCCAGCCCACCAGAATGGTGCGGCAGAAAATCGCTATTCTCGTGCGGCACTAAGCCTAATTTGGATTCGCGCGGCGCTAAGCCTGATTCAGTCAGCACCCTAATTTAGTTACACCCCTAAGCTGCTACGCCCTGCTATAGAAATTTGTATGCGTTAACCTAGCAACGCAAGTATTATCACAAAAATGCTCTACAACAATAATTTACACTACAGCTGCTAATAGGGCTGCTTTTTGCAACAATATAATATTATTAAATTTAACGATTTTAACCTCTTTTTTTATTATAAAAACACTGCTCTTTTATCTCCTTAATAGATAACAACTATATACTTAAATTTACTAGCTTTAGTAGCTTTTTTAAAGAATTATATAATAACTTATTTGCCTCTAAAGCTAAGAAGCTATTTAATAAGCTGCTTAATAAAGATTCTAGCTGCTTAATCTCTTTAATACTGCTACTAAGAACTTATAGCAACTTTAATTATCTTTTTAAAGATTTATAGAACTAGAGCAAGGCAAATAGCACTATATTTATAAAAAGATCTATAAGTAGGTTTATTAAAGTTAGCAGAAGTTAGTAGCCTTAATATAGTAGCATCTTATGCTATTATAGCTTCTAATAGCTACAAACATTTAGTAAAACTTAATAAGCTAGTACTAAAAAAACTAACTGTAAATTTAAGCTTAAGCTAGTATCTACTAAAGTTAATAGAAACTAGCAATAGACCTATAAAGTAATACACTATCTATATAATTATAGTTAATTTCTTAATCTATTAGCTAAACTAATACATTAAAAGTTTACAGACAAACAATAAGACTACATTATAAGCCTTATAAAACACTAAGCTCTTCTAGTACAAGAGATTAGTAAGATTATTTGTAATATAGCAGCAAAAGATAAATTAAATGTATATTTCTGCTGTAAAGACCTCTACAACTAAGTCGCTAAAGCTCGTGCAAATAAGCTTGTCAGCGGCAGATACTGCCTACTAGAAAAAACACCTACAAAAACAAAGGAAACAACTGCAGCATACAAATTGCCTACAAGGAACGTTTGCATGCATTTTATATACAAGGATTTAATATGCTTTACGCCTATATTCCTTTGTATATATAAATAAGGTTAAAAGAGGAATGCTAGCTAGAATTTAACAAAAAGACTAATAAGCTATAAAGGCTAATTTACTCTATAGCAGGAAAGCAGCTATAAGAGTTATTTTTAGCCTCTAAGGTTATTTTAAGCTACTATCTATACTTAATTTAGCAGCTCTACTATAGAATTTACCTATAAATAACTCTCCTTCCCTCTAACTAGATAGAGAGGAAATTAAGCTTTTACAACTATATTCTTTAATATATACTATTATATATAATTTTATACTATATCTAAAGTTACTTCTATTATACCTTAAGAATCCCTATTATCTTATGCTTAGTAATT